GGAAAATGATTAAATCATGAGGGCTCTGCCCTCATGAATGGGATTAGTGCCCTTATAAATTAGTGCCCCTGATAGGATCACATTTGTCCCTTCCACCATGTGAGGACGCAGCAAGAAGCTGTCATCTTTGAAGCAGAGAGCGAGCCCTCACCAGATACTCAATCTACTGGCACCTTGATCTTGGACTTGCCAGCCTCCAGAACTATAAGCAATAAATTTCTATTGTTTCTAAATTGCCAAGTCTAAGGTTTGTGATAGCAGCCCAAATGGCCTAAGACATGATGTTTAACCAACTTTTATATTTAACTTTGTATCATGTTTGCAATGAGAAAAAAAAAAAAACTTCTCAAGTTATCATTTGCCCATCAGTTCCAAAGTTGTGAACATATAGGTTTTGTCTATAGTGAATGCAGATGAAAAAGGGTAGAATTTCAGTAACTGTCAAATTGCCAAGAACAGCCCAACTTCAACAACTATCAACACTTTTCAGTGCATGTTTTAATATCACACTTACCATTTATTTTTCACACAAATTATATGACACTGTGCTTAATGTTTGTCACTTACTTTGTTCACTTAGCAATGTGATCATTCAATAAGTATTTATTGAGCTCCTAATATATGCCAGACACTGTTTTAGGCACTGGGAATAGAAGAGCAACTAAGAAAGACAAAAATCTCTTTCCTAGTTTGCAGATACTTGTTCCCTCCCCTTTCTTGGCCGAAGGTTAGGGGACATTTCTGCTGGAGACACCACTTCAGGGCTACATTCTGTTTCATTTCCTCCAACAGTTCCCAAAGAAAATCTCTCCATCCCTAAGGGAAGACTCGAGAAACTTGGTCAGTAGCAGCTGATGGACCCCTCTCCACACGGAAAAGCACAGCTTACATTCCAAAACAGAAATTCAAAAGGGGGAAAAAAATACTAACATAATCATCCGTTTTCAATCATGGCCTCTTAACAGGACTCCCCAGGGAGTCTCTTCAAAAATATGAAGCAGTTCCCTGGAAGAGGCTTTTATTAAAAAAAAAAAAATATATACCACAAAAAACAGACCCCCGATTGCTGATTCTAGATAATTCGCTGCTTTTAAGTAACCAAAGAACAGTCTCAAGATGACTGTAGATGGCTCAGTACACAAGCCTTGTCACGTAATTTCCTTCCCCTCTCACTCCCTGAGAATTTAAATATTCAACAAAAGAAAATGGGAGCTTATTCAAACAAATACAGAACAATGAACAAATACTCCATTTTTTAAGATGTTGAATGTTTTGCAGGTTTATGGTTAGCATTATGGGGTAACATTTACTGAGTGTCTGCTGTGTGCCAGGCAACAGACAAGCCTGATCTTTGCATTAACTCATTCAATCCCTACACAGCCTTATTAGATACACATTATCCCCATTTTGCAGATGAGGAAACTGAGAACAGACAAGGTACATGTAACATCCTGAAGGTCACTATAGTGGACATACACAGATTGTCACCTACTCAGCATCCCCAGCTCCTTTGGGTAAATACACATTCCCCCATTCCATGAGGTCCTGGTAATCGCTGTGCCTTGACCCCTTTGGGCACTCAGATGAAGCCAATCATAATACTTTACATCCTGGTGGGCAAATGACCCAAAGCAGAGCCGATTAGAATCTCCCCTGGGATTGTATTAATCTAGATAATGGAAGACAAACATTGGACAGGGTGTGGTAGCCAGTCTCCAAAAATGATGTCCAGTGAACTATACCTCTTGGGATTCACGCCCCTGTGCAGTTCCCTCACACGTGGAATATACGACTGGCCTCAAAAAACAGACTGCCACCAAAGAGGTCCTATGTCCCTTTTAGGACTAAGCCCTAAGAAAGCCTGGCAACTCCTACATTTTTGCTTTTGGAAACCCTGAGCTGCCAGACAGGCTACCCTGGTAGAGAGACCATGTAGATGAGAGATCAGTAAGCCTTTTCTGAATGCACCAGATAGTAAATATTTTTGGCTTTGTAAGCCATATCATCTCTATCACAACTACTCAAATACTATTACAGTGTAAAAGCAGCCATAGGCACCGCATAAACAGGGGGCACGGCTGTGTTCTGGTAAAATTTGGTTTATAAAACAGGTATCACACACTGCCCTGACTCCTGATGTGGAGACCACATAGAGGTGCCACGTGGAGGGCAAAAGGCGCTGAGACTTCGTGGAGAGAGACAGAGAGAGGCCAAGTTATCCCAGAGTCCCAGCTGAGCCCAGCCTTCCAGCCAGGGCACCAGGCATTGAGTGAGCCATCTCAGACAGTCCAGCCAGGAGAGCTCCAGATAACTGCAACCTTGGCCAATGTCACACGGAACAGAAGAATCCCCGGCTGAGTCCAATCAACCCACAGAATTGTGAGAGGTAATACAATGACTATTGTTTTAAGCCACTAAAAGTTTAGGGTGGTCAGTTACACAGCAACATTGTATAAGGCAGGGTTTCTCAAATTCAGCACTATTGACATTTCAGGCTAGATAATTCTATGTGGTGGGAGACTGTTCTGTGCATTGTAGGATGCTTAGCAGTGTCCTGCCCTCACCCATTAGATGCCAGTAGCATCCTCCCTTCCTAGCTGTGACAACTAGAAATATCCACAGACTTTGCCAAGTGTCCCTGGGGTACAAAATCACCACTCATTAAAAAACACTAATGTAAGGTAAAGGCATTTGAAAATGGGGCACCAGCAGCTAACTTCCCCACCACATGGAAGTCAAGCCACATCATAAACAGGGTGAAGGCAGGGCAAATTATGACTTTCTAGGCTCTAGGTAATTCTGCCTTCCTCAGCCCCTTCCTGCATTAAAAAAAAAAAAAAAATCAAAAATCGTATTTTATGGCTCCATTGGCTTAAAGATTAATATAATCCAGAATCATTATACATTATATTCATTTTTTCTCATGATTCTAAAACTAAAATTAAGCTAATTAAAACAAATTAAATTTATTAAAATTAAATATCATAGGTCCTATGCACTGTGCCTACTACGTATGGAAAGTCAGCCCCAGTTGAGTGTAAGGATGAGGCCAAAGGACACTATTTTATTAATTGTTTCTGGAACCACCCATGCCTAAAGCTTGACTCCTCCTGGGATTTTTCAGTTTCATGAGCCAATAAATTGACTCTTTGAACTGAGCTTCTGCCACTTGCAGCCAAGAACCCTGACTTATCTGGTCTCCCAACTATAACAGGTGCAACCCTGAACTTAAACCTGGATCTGTGTTATTCAGACTGGAGTTCTTACCCACTACCACCAGCCACTAACACGTTCTGCCTCCAGGATCCTTCTAGTTTTCTCCTCCATCAGGATGGTTTTCGAGAAAAGTTCCCCCAACTTACACTTCCGCACAAAGTTGCTCACGTGCTTAATCTTCATCAGAGCGGGCTGACTGCATTCTTCAAAGAGAACAAAGAGGGCATCTAATATCCCTTCTCGGGAAAGAGGAGACATCTGCTGTTGAGTCATAAAGGGTGGTTTCCCCTAAAAACAGCAAACAGCAGATGGAGACACTGTCAATAATGAAAAGCTTTGATCAATAACATCCACACAGAGTAAATTACAAGCCACCAACTCAACTAACTGCTCACGACACGCTAACAGCACAATTCTGGGGCTTCAATCTTTAAAGCAGCATCAATTGACAGTCATTAAGTTATCACTTGTACAATTCCATTACTGTGGGTTTCTTTCGCCAGCACCTGGGAAGGAAAACTTCACAAGCATGCCATTAATAAGAAAAGGTCTTTCACTGTCAGTGGTCTGAAGCTCATGAGAACATTCACTCTGGATCCTGCTGGTTCTGACATGTTTCCATGGCTCTACAATAGGAAACCATGATTGTCACTTCTTTCATATGTGCCCAGAGGTTTGTTAATATAATCCCAGTTTCTTTAATTCATTCGAACAATCTAGAGCAATGTGAATGGAGTGACTACCGTGAAGCTGAATTTATTCATGATCTGGAGCAACAATTACAAACTGGCAGACTATATCTAGCCCACAGACATGTTTTGTTTGGCCTGCAGTGTTTAAAATAATTTGAATTTATCTGCCAATATTTAAAAATCAGATTTTGCAAAACAATAAAAATGGAATATTTGGCTTCTCTTGAAACACTGGTGGATCTACTAACATTGCCCCACATTCCTGCCTGGCGACGTTGAGCTGGAGCTGAGTAATGCTGCCCCTGTTGGTAGCAAATGTGTTTTGGAGCTCACCGAAGACCTGACTCCCAGTGTTCCACCTGGCCCACTTGACTCATTTATACTCACTGCCTGGCCCCCAAAGACATGAGTTTGCAACCCCTGGTCTAGATTCAGATAGGCCAAGCCATGGATTGTGTGACATTCTCTCTACAAAGATGGCCACCAACTGTTCCTTCAACTCTGTAGGCTCATGTTGCTCCTCCCTTCAAGAGCTGGAATCTATTCCTCCTCCCCTTGAATCTTGGGCTGTCTCTGAGACTCGCTTCAGTCAACAAAATGTGAAACAAGTGACACTGTGCCCGTTTGGGGTAGAGCCCTTAAGAAGCCTGGTACCAGCTTCTTCTGTTGCTTTTTTGGAAGCCAGTCACATGGAAAGCAGCTTAGGCCAGACCAGGGGTCAGCAATCTACAGCCCATGGGCCAAATCCAGCCCACCACCTGTTTTTGTAAATAAAGTTTTATTGGAACACAGCCACACCCATTCCTTTACATATTTATTGTCTTTAGCCACTTTTGTGCTACAATGGCTGAGTAGTTGCAACAGCAACTGTATGTTCCACAAAGCCTAAAATATTATTTACAGAAAAAAACTATGAGCCCAGACTACTGAGAGATAAAAGACCTCATGGAGACGAGAGGCCATGTAAGGAACACTGAGGCGCCCCAGCCAGCACCCAGATGTTCCAGGCCCAGACATAATCCCAGCTGGATGCAGCCCCAAGTGACTCCAGGTGACATCACAGAGTGAAGCAGAAGACCTACCTAGCTGAGTCCAGCCAACCCACAGGATCCTAAGAAAAAAATAAACCACTGTTGCTTTAAACTTCATGAGTGGTTTGTTACACAGCACTGGATAACAGAAACAGACTGGCTACGTTTGAATCACTGGAAGACTTAACTAAGGAGAAAAATAAACAGATTCTCTTGTCCGATACTCAACCTACTGAATTAGAACTTCCCAGACTGTAGCTTAGAATCTGTTTTATTAAACGGTTTTCCAAGAGAGTCAGACCTCAGTCAGGGTTGGGAAGCACTGCGTCTCAAGGCAGTGCTTGACTAAGTCACTTCAGTAGTATTTGCCACCATCTCAGAAAAACAAGTCACTCTGTTCCTTCTATTCCAGAGTTTAAACCAACTGTATCAGGGGTCCCCAAATATAGTACTGATTCTTAACAAAGTTTTCAACAGCCAGCAGTGAAGTGAGAAAAAATGAATACTACATGATATCTCTTTTATAAAGCTAAATGTATTCAAATTTAAAAATGGCCCTTTATTCTGAGATGATGTTCTTCCTCTCTTGGTATTTCTTAAAATGCCCTCTCTTTATGAAATAAAAGGGCCAGAAAATAACGGGTTTTCCTTCTTGCTTTTTACATCCTTAGTTGGCAAAATAAAAAGTTGGCAAACCTGTATCTGCCGAGTAATTTGTGAAATTTTGCTGGCTCTAAAAGTTTAAAAATCACTGACCTAGAACATGTTAGGAAATACTGTTGAGCATTAATAGAAGGAAAAAAGACAAACTGACACCCAATCCAAAGCACTTACCTGAATGGAAAACAAAATTGCTACTGTATCTAAACCTCATTAAAACAGCATTTTTGTATGGGAAAAGAACAAACAGTATCCTTACCTGCTCAATCAAGGCAAATGTCAGGTGCATCCTATACTTGCAGTAATAGCTTAACTGGGGGTAGGGAGGTACTCATCACTAAAATGAGATGAACCGGGGCTTTACCCACAATCCTGTGTGTTCGAATGACATTTAAATATAAGATACACTTAATAACTCTGACATGGGCTGGCAAGGTGGTCAAGTGGTTATAAGTGGCCAGCCTTTGGAGTCAGACAGACCAAAGATGGAGCCTGACTCTGCCATTTACAACCTACGTGATCTTGGGCAACTCCTTGCCTACCTCCATATCTGTCTATATCCGTCTCGGCCTATTCAAAGTGTAAATAAGGATAGTCCTTACCTCTGCCACGAGGCTGAAGTGAGGTAATCAGAAACATGCTGGTTCTGTGCCCAGCACATTAGAAGCCTGAGCTAGTACATCATCAGCATGTATTACAAGCCCTTAACAAATGAGTTGGAGATGTTTTGAAGTAAAATGATAAAGGGAATAAAAAGTGGCAGTACTTCAGCCCTCTAAGGTTGGAGATAGATTATTCATTTATGAAAAATATCTTATGACTTAAAATGGTGATGGGGACGGTCCAACAGAACAACCTAAGCTTCCAATTTGTTTGCACTCTGATCTGTTTGAACATACACTACCAAAATTTTGAAAAAAATATAATCAAGAACACATCACTATCCATCATCTTACAGGTATCCTATATAAATACCATCCTAAATATAATTATTAAGTAAACAGAAATGTATTATTACTATAACTAATACTGTTCTATACTTCGTATTAACAATAGTTACCATTTATAAAGGGTTTACCAAGAGCCAGGCAAGATGCCAAGTGCTTTATATTGAATATCTCATTTAATCCTCACAAAACCCCTGCAGATTAGGTACTACAACCTCTATTGTAAAGAGTAGCAAAGGCTGGGCACAAGAGGCTCACACCTGTAATCCCAGCACTTTGGGGGGCCAAGGCGAGAGGATGGCTTGAGGGTAGAAGTTCAAGATCAGACTGAGCAACAAAGTGAGACTCTATATCTACAAAATAAAAAAAAAAATTTGCTGGGTGTGATGGTGCACACCTGTAGTCCCAGCTACTCTGGGAGGCTGAGGCAGGAGGACTGCTTGAGCCCAGGAATTTGAGGTTGCAATGAGCTATGATGACACCAATGTACTCTAGCCCCAGGTAACAGAGCAAGACCCTGTATCAAAAAAAAAAACAAAAAAACAGAGTAGCAAATGGATTCAGAGAAGGTAACTGACTCAACCAAAGTAACACAGCTAACAAGTAGCAGGTCCAGGATTCAAATCTAAATCTTCACCACTATCTATATTGCCCCCCCACCGACTTGGGAATCTTAAGTAAAACAAGGATTTCTATTTCACAAGTATTCCCTAAACATCAGAAACAAGAATTAGAAACCGATTTGAAAATACTCTCATGACATTAAGTTTTAACACTTCTGGGGTAATGGAAATATCACATATCTTGAAAGGAATGTGGATTACACAGGCGTGGTATTTATTAAATTATTTTTTTAATTTAAAAAGTTGCTGGGTATGGTGGCTCACGCCTGTAATCCTAGCACTCTGGGAGGCCGAGGCGGGTGGATTGTTTGAACTCAGGAGTTCAAAACCAGCCTGAGCAAGAGCAAGACCCCATCTCTACTAAAAATAGAAAGAAATTAATCGGACAACTAAAAATATGTAGAAAAAATTAGCCGGGCATGGTGGCGCATGCCTGTAGTCCCAGCTATTCGGGAGGCTGAGGCAGAAGGATCGCTTGAGCCCAGGAGTCTGAGGTTGCTGTGAGCTAGGCTGACGCCACAGCACTCTAGCCCAGGCAACACAGTGAGACTTTGTCTCAAAAAAAAAGTAAATATCCCCTCAATGAAAAACAATAGTATTATACCTATGGAAATTGTGGTTTAAAAAGTGCCTTTGTTTGCTTGTTTTTCTTTCTTTAGTAAGGGGACAAACTTTAGTATGGAAGGGTAAAGTGAGAGAAATATAAAAAGATTTCCCTTCATGGGCAAGTTCAAGTTCAGCTAGCTACTTCAGTCTGCACAGTGACTCCTTTTTCCAATACAATCTGTATATAAAACTCCAAATAGGATTTCTCCTACAATATCAGCCTCGGTCCTCAATAAAAGCAAAGGTGAACAACAAGGAGGTTCCAAGAAAACAAACACAGGTGAGCAAAGTTGTAGGGCAGCCAGTTACCTGGAAGAAAAGATTCAGCCTGGAGGCCCGGCTAGCAATGGGTTCCACGGCACCAGCATCCAGTAGATTCCGTCCTCCATACTTGAACTTCAACATCTCTCCACCGTTGCTGAAGGGATAGTGGAAAAGTTAGGTGTGTACTGACATTCTGAGCAGGAAGGGCTTGAGAGATCCTGATCTCCCTCAAGATAACAGGGAGATGAAAATCAGCTGTTGCTCTAGTCGTAAGCAGCAGCTTAGTCTGGTCACGGAGATTAAAAACTCAAATTTAACTCGCTGTAACAGGAGGTGATACACTCATCTAACATACTCTCTTACTTATAAATGTGTTTATTATCCGCCCCCCTTAGAATGTAAAATGTAAGCTCCACAGGGCAGGGATTTTGTTCCCAGGGACACACATAGCCTGGTACATAGCAGGTGTGAACAGTTATTAACTAAATGACTGAAATAAGCAAACTACATAGTATATTGGAAGGTGATAAGTGCTTTGGGGTAAAAAAAAAAAAAAAAAAAAAAAAAGGAGCAAGGTAAGGGCAATTGGAACGGAAAGTGCAATGTTTTACAGTGTGGTCAAAGAAGACTTCACTGAGAAGGTAACATTTGAACCAAGACCTGAAGGCAGTGACCAGCAAGCCCTGCTGCTATCTGGGAAAAGAAAGGTACCTCTGGCAGAGGGACCAGCCAAGGAAATAGCCTGAGGCAGGACCCGGCCTCTCCAACTAGAACAGGGAGGCCAGAGGGGGGGTGCAGGGTGAAAGTGGGGAGAGTGGAAGGAGGTGACGAGGTGGGCGCCGGGAGTATGCAGACACTGAAGCAAGGAGGTTAAGCAAATTGTCAAGGTCACACTGAAAATAAGGAGCTGCCGGACTCCACTAGACAGAATAATGCAGGAAATGCTGACAGGAGGCAGAGCCGAACGGACTCCACCCGGCTTAGCAGAGGAACTCTTCCTCCCGCCCCACCCCTGGCGGCCCGAGCGGCCCCGTGGAGGGTGGGCGCGCGCACGGTCAGCCCGGGAAGACCCTCCCTGCCACCCGCCGCCCACCCCGCGGCGGGAGGGACAGCCGGGACTGGTGTGGGTGCAGGCGGCCCTTCCCCGGCCTTGCAGAGCAGGGTAGAGGAGAATTGGGGGGAGTGGGGGCTCCAGACTCACGCTCCGCGGACCCGACCAGTCTGCGCTCTGCGGCGCCCTCGCCTCCCGCCGCCGCGTTTGAACCCGGGGAGCGGCGTGGGCGGGTCTCAGCTGTATCTGGACCAATCAGAGTGCCCGTGCCTATGATGGACATCGTGTCTCAGCCAGGCCCCGCCCAAGCCCTTAAAGGGACGGAGGCAGTGAAGGGCAGAGCCAATGAAATTATTTCTTCCTTTGACTCGCGACCAATAGGAAAAAGGGAAGGGCAAACCCGGCAGGGCAGGTCTTGGAAGTTTGAAATTGGCGGTTACACAGGATGCAGTGTTTGGGGACGCGTCTGTTTGTCTAGGATCCCTGAGGAGGTCGCCGGGGCGCTGTCCCCTGCTCTCAGCCACCTGCGAGGAGGAAGACAGCCACATCGCTCCTCCTGGGCTTCTTGTTCCTCTCACATGACTGAAGTAGAAGTACTCGTTACTTTTGAAAACCAGCTGGTTCTCTGCCACAGCCGAAGCAGCAAATGTTTTGATTAGGGGCTGAAAAAAAAAATCTGACAGTGTTTGAAGATGTGGAGCTACACGCATACGGTACATAGCTGATGGGAGTGTAAATTGGTACAATCTCTTTGAAAAAGAATTTGGCACCATTCGCTAACATTGAAGATTTGTGCAATCTATGACTATTCCTGGGAGGAGTTTCTCTACCTTAGAGAAACTCTTAATTAAGTACACCGGGAGACATGTACAAGAATACGCAATACAAAATAGTATTGGACAACATAATGGCAAAAAACTGGAAGCAACCCAAACGCCTATCAGCAGTAGAAAGGATAAAATTTCGTACTGCAGTGTTTTCATACAGCAGTGGAAAGGAATAAACTACAGCTAACCGTAATGAGTCTCAAAACACTGCCCAGTGAAGGAAGCAAGACAATAAAGTATGATTCCACTAATATAAATTTCAAAAGCAGACAAAACAAAGCAATGTTGTTTAGGGAGGGATGTATATACAAGTGGTGAAACCATAAAGAAAGCAAAAGACTCCTGACTTTTGTAGTTACCTGGGGTTAGGATGGAGGCTTTTCAGGGTGTAAGGATCTGCTATGATGTATTTCTTAACCTGGGTGGCAATAATATGGATATTGCTTTATAATAATTAAATTGTGTGTGTGTGTATGTGTTCTATTCATGTGTGTAAAAAATTTTAAAGGAGAAAGACAGTCTTTTCCGTACTCTCCTAAACCCTACACTAGATAGAACCACAGATATGTTATCACACACACACATATACAAACATCAGCACAAAACCAAAGCTACAAACTTGCTTAATAAACTCTTTATTCCCAAACATAACTGACTTCTTGTTCCCAGACACTAATAGTCACTACTATATATCAAGCCCCCCCATTTATCAAATACCTTTTCTCATTTAATCCTTCCCACAGCCCTGGGACAGAGGAACTATAATCTACATTTTACAGGTGGGAAAACTGAAGCTGAGAGAAGTAGAATGATTAATCGTGGGATCCTTCTGTAGGTAAGGAAGTGTAACCAAAAAAAAAGAAAAAAAAATCGTGGGTCTTGCAGCTTTAGGTGGTGGAGCTGGGTTTGGAACTCCTGGCCTAACTCCAAAATCCTTTCTTTGACACAAAACCTGCTTCTTAAAAGGCATAAGAAATTATCCAGCCTCTGCTTTTGTCATGTTGCAAGGAATGACCCAGCCCCCCAAAAATGCATAAGAGGTGCTTCTAATGACATGAAAAGGTTAACCAAAGTTTGGGGATGGCAACATGAGGGGATATGGGATGTAGATTGTAGAATGTGGAAGCCAGCTATTGATTTGATATAAAGAATCTCAGAAAAGCTATGACCGTTGATCTAGTCAATGCATCTGCTTATTTTTCTCTTCCAGCCAAATATGTTAGTTTCCAGGTAACACGAATAGAAGTCTTTACCAGAATTTTGGAACATGTTGATCCTAAATTAGAACGCAATGTTAACAGCACCGTTTTGCACTGCCTAGATAGCCTACTATTAATAATTTCCCATGAGAACAATTACCAGCCTCTATAAAACCGTTGTGAAACAGGACAAGGAATAAGGAACAAATAAAATGAATAAAGAAACACAAAGCAAAAGCCACATTAACTCTAACAATTTTCTTTCAGGAGTAGTAACTGCACAGAAAGTTTTTGGGGAAAGAGAATAAGGGACCAACAGTGGTTGTGCCAATACTAAAGTGTTAAGATGCTGCCAAACAGGATAAACTGTCATTAAAACTATACTGACTCATCCCTGTAATCCTAGCACTCTGGGAGGCGAGGCAGGAGGATTACTTGAGCTCAAGAGTCTGAGACCAGGCTTAGCAAAAGTGAGACCCTGTCTCTGCTAAAAACAGAAAAATTAGCCAGGTGCGGTGGCATGTCCCAGCTACTCAGGAGGCTGAGGCAGGAGGATGGCTTCAGCCCAAGAGTTTGAGGTTGCAATGAGCTAAGATGACTCCACTGCACTCTACTCGGGGCAACAAGCAAGACTCTGTCTCCAAAAAAAAAAAAAAAAAACTAGACTGACAGGAAACCCGAGATCTTATGTCTGTTCTTGCACAAAGTGAATCAATGACCAGTCATTTGCTAAACACCTAAACGTGAATTCATGATGATCATTGTGATGGGAATTATGGAAGAACGCCATCATAACTGAGTCCTGATAAAGGACAGTATGACATTCTTGCATTCGCTCATTCATTTATTCAGTAGAAATTTATTGTATCAAGCACTGGGGATACCAAAATGAAAAAGACACCCTCCATGTCTGTTGCTGAAAAGTTGAGTTGGGCAAATGGAGCTGTTGGCAAAAAATTGTGGAAAATTGTAATAAGTCCCTATGGTTGTGGAGGGTACAGAGGGCTGTGGCAACCAAGCAGAGGGCAAGTGGTATGTGACAGCCAACTCTCCTGCCCAAAATTTGAAAGTATAGGAAATGTGATTGCCCCAACCTTTTTGGCACCAGGGACCGTTTTCATGGAAGACAATTTTTCCACGGGGGGAGGGAAGGGAGGTATGGTTTCAGCATTATTCAAGTGCATTCCATTCATTGTGCACTTTATGTCTATTATTATTACTTGTAATGTATAATAAAATAATCATACAACTCACCATAATGCAGAATCAGTGGGAGCCCTGAGCTTGTTTTCCTGCAACTAGACAGCCCCATCTGGGGGTGATGGGAGACGGTGATTTATTATGGTCTCTGTGCAGTCAAACCTCTCTGCCAATGATAATCTGTATTTGCAGCTGCTCCCCAGTGCTAGCACCTCAGCTCCACCTCAGATCATCAGGCATTAGATTCTCATAAGGAGCACAACCTAGATCCCTCACATGCGCAGTTTACAGTAGGGTTCGAGCTCCTGTGAGAATCTAATGCTGCTGCTAATCTGATAGAAAGTGGAGCTCAGGCGGTGATGCAAGCAATGGGGAGTTGTAAATACAGATGAAGCTTCGCTAGCTCACCCTCTGCTCATCTCCTGTCGTGCACCCAGTTCCTAACAGGGCACAGACCAGTACTCGTCTGTGGCCCAGGGGATGGGGACTTCAGGCTGAGAGCATTCAACTGGAATATGGGAGAAACAGAGATACTCCCAGGCACCTGAAAAGAATAGAAGGAATGACTACAAGACTCAAACAAGAGTTAGTGGAACATTAAGAATTGAGATGCGGCCAGGCGCAGTGGCTCACGCCTGTAATCCTAGCACTCTGGGAGGCCGAGGCGGGTGGATCGCTCAAGGTCAGGAGTTCGAGACCAGCCTGAACAAGAGCGAGACCCCCCCCCCCCACGTCTCTACTAAAAAATAGAAAGAAATGATCTGGACAACTAAAAATATATAGAGAGAGAAAAAACTTAGCCGGGCATGGTGGCGCATGCCTGTAGTCCCAGCTAATCGGGAGGCCGAGGCAGAAGGATCGCTTGAGCCCAGGAGTTTGAGGTTGCTGTGAGCTAGGCTGACGCCACGGCACTCTAGCCCAGGCAACAGAGCAAGACTCTGTCTCAAAAAAAAAAAGAATTGAGATGCTAACTCCATTCTAGATATAGAGAGACAAAGCTATTCTGGTCCCCTTGGCAAGGAAGAGCTCCTCAAGCCAGTTTCTCTATATAATGAGAATAACTACCATTAGCTGAGTGCTTTCTAGGTGCGAGCACCTAGTATTCCCTGTATCTCAAAGATGTGTACCCAACACTGCTATGAGAGGCACTTTCAGGTAGCATACAAATGTCATTTATTTTTTAAATTATATATTTTATTGTGTGTTAGTTAGAAAGTATAGCTAGTCCATCAAACCAGGTATTTCATAGACAGTATCACTTGGGGTGATACTAAAGGAGATATTTAAGAAGACAAAATTAGCTAGTAAAGAAAATGCTAAGTAAACTGTAGTACAGGCGATACATGGGTATAACTAAAAAAAAAAAATTCTTAAAATTTGGGAGACTACATCATCTTACATAATTCTCAAGCAAGCCCCTAAAGTAGGCACTAATACTAGCAGAGAAATTTCAGCTGAGAGAAGTTAAGTCACACACTAGAATGTGGTGCAATCAGGACTTGAAGTGGCTCTTTCATTCCAAGGCCCATTTTGATAACCACAAAACTGTCCTGACTTCTAGTTACGTTTGTCCCAGCACCTGGCACATAATAGATGCTTATAAATGTTTATGGACTAAGTGATGAAATCTAACTCTGTGCTCATTTGATTACAGTTTGGTTTCTCATATGGGCATTCCTGGAGCCGTTGTTCACAAACTTGCATGCATATTGGGATCACATGGGGAGCATTGAAAAATACGCTGGGCCTGGGCCCCACCTTTGGAGATGCTTATTTCATTGTTCCCAGATCAAGCTTAGGCACTAGGGGTTGGTCAACTTCCCCAAGTGACCCCAGTGGGCAGCCAACATCAGGAACCACTTGCCAAGACAGAGCAGATATACCACTAACCAAATGTCAAAGTGTGTTTCTCATTGTAATTTGATAAACTGGCAACCTGACTTCATCAACAGTC